TCTTCTTACATACCAATACGTTCATCGTACGTTCATGTTTCAAGGTCCTCGTTTCAATCGGTCATGACAATCTGTCGCCAGTTATGTGATCTTTATGTACATGAAATCAAGCTAGTAGACCTTGAAGGCGCCTACATGCGGTGAGCCGCGTGTAAAAGTTCTACAGATAAAATTGGGACACAATGACGATCCTGAGAAGGGATGTCTTCGCATAGATTTATGTGGCAACAAATTGAATACAAATGTAAAGTTTCGCAGATTAATTAAAGTTTCTACGTACCTGCATATTACTGCATTAATTCGAGTATTATTACCATTGCTTTCTCAACGTTTGTTTCATTTAAATTCAAGGATTTGTCTACAGAAAAAAAAGAGAAAGAATTTACTATTATATGTTCGATTTATTTCTCTTCCCTTTCCCGTTGATGTCTTTTGCCTCATTTATATACGTTTCCTTCTGTATCTTTCAATCACGTATCGATTATACATTACAGAAAACAATCACTCTTTTGGAGTTTTAACAACTGTTTGAAAAGCTAACTACATCGTTTTGTTCACGTCAAAATCTCGATCCCATTGATGGCCGCACATCCGACTTGATACGCGACTCGCCGAAAAGGACATTTAGCTGGCGGCGCAGCGCAGCTTAACGAAAAGAAGACGTAACTGTGCTTTAGTATACGCAGCAACTTTTCTCATTCCTTTCTTCTCCCCCTTCGCTCTTATCCTTCTGGAGCGCTTACCGTTACAGCTATCGGATGCTCTTTCAAGCGACAGTCGCAGGAGATAAGCACAAAGATAAACTATTAACGCGTAGCGCGGCTCAAAGTTCTGCTTCCCTATCATTTCTCATTCGCTTGAGGAGCGAATATCATTAATTCAACGATCGCCGCCATATAATTCGCGAAATTTAAGGTCGTTTTAAGAAATCTGTTTGATCGATATTGCACCGTCGTACGTTTCAATTCAATTTCACGCAAAGCAGGTCGATACACTTAACTTTTTTTTTCTTCTCAAACGTAGCGCTTAATTCAATATTCGCTTTACGGCGCTCTACAAGACCAAATTATTGGTCTACGGTCAATTAGTCTGCAAGTATGCGTCAGATGTATTACCGGCCAAACAGGATGCGCGTTTCATCGCGGCGGTGACCGTCATACGATCTCATCAAATATTGCCTCCGGACCGCCTCGCAGCTCCAAGCGCAGCGTTTTTTGAACGGCCTCCACTAAGTATGCGACTCGCGCCGTAGAGAGTGTTGCCGAGATGTGTACCAGAAGAAGTGGTAGGATTAAAATAAAAGAGGGGAAAAGAAAAAGATAAAAGGAAAGGAAAAAAAAACAAAAGAGTGGGAGAAGACGTCCTTTATTCCAATGCATAAGCGTGCCTTAGTACAGGCATTAACCTCCCTACCATTTTCTCTCCTTTCTCTTTTCCTCGCGCGCCTCGCGCACTGCAGCTATAGTCATCGGATTCTCTTTTAGGGACCGTGCTAAGACTGCCAGATGAAAGTATATAACCGGTTCGCAGCTGCAGCCAGTCTGGAGATCTGGGTATCGGCCGGTGTGCAACTGGCGGGCACACACCGTGGCGCCAGGAACGGATTCGTCGTCCGTGGTCCCAAGAAAGGACACGTACGGTCACATCTCCTTATCTTGTCTCGAAAACCCCCGTTAATCCTTTTTGCAATAGCAGCCTATGCCCCCAGCTAGGAAGTGTAGCATAAAAACGATATAAATCTGATAAACCGCAACCTCTTTTAGAATAATAAACAGCTGTCTAAGTTTAAAGCTAGACCTAGATTCACGTAGCAGGTAGTCTTATGATGAACTCAGAACCAGTACGACGAGTTCAACGTTTTCTGACGTCGCGATAGTGTTAGCGAAGCAATTTTACGTATCGATCCCTTTAACTTTTATCTCTATTTCTATCCAGTACATTACGGTTGGATTGTTTCGCGGTATTCATAGTCATGTGTCGCTGAAATCAAGTAGAAATATACATATGTATTAAGATATAAGCGGGAATGTCTATTTTTAGAAATTCTCTGTAGTATACATCATTATGCCTTCTCATGCAAGGGTAACCTCTATGTCTATCATGATATTACGATGAACGTTCCGTGTGTGAAATTTATCAAAGTACCTGCACACTCTTTCTAAACCGGAAGTTTTTTAAACGGATGTTCTTTCTAAAAGAATAAAGGACTGATCGAAGGATATCCGCAAATCATGCGTGAGATTATGATGAGGCGGCAAGAAGTGAAGAAAATGAAACGCAAAACGAACATTGTACAGCATGTCCAGGAATTGGCAAAAAATATCCAACATTGCGTTTATTGTCAGAGTCAATTTCTTCATAGAAATAAAAACGGATAATTATTATCTATTTTAATAACTTAGACTTAATATATATACTTATATTCTATTCCTATAATTTTATAATTAAACTGTCAAACTACACTACTTCATTTTTATACAAATACTTACGAGTATTATTATCTAGAAAAAAATTTAGACATAAAGTCAAAATTCGAAACATAAAATGTCTTATAAATTAATAAAGATGTCTTTATGACACTTTTGCGAGAACTATTTAAAAACCGTATGAAAGATATATTATAAAACGTCTTAATATCCCAATTTTGGACTTTGTGTTATTTAGATAGTATCTCGAGTTTTGCAAAATTACCTGAATGTAAGTAACTTCCGTATATTCTGCAAATGAGCGACAGTCATAGTAGATGAATGCGGCAAAGTGACGGAAGATACGAGGAGCTTTGGGATAATCATGCCTAGCACTGCTCAGCTTATTACATTTAATGATCTCCATAGAGATGAAGCGCGCTTGATCTTCCGTGACGAAATAAGGTGCGTCTTCCAACAGGATATCGTATCAAAATTGAAACAGCACATAAATATAACTTACGATTCACTAATGACACGGAGATTGATTGCAATCTCTCTCATGGAATATTTAAAAAATGTACAAACTGTGCAGACAATTGTAGTTTCCTAAACTGATTTAAAATTTTTGAAACACATATTTTTTATATTTAAAAAAAGTGTATTCTAACAATAATATCGCCTCTGGAATAAAATTTGATGGTAAAATGGTTGAAAGAACCGCATAAATCAAAACACTTAAAAATTCGTTAACTGCTATTTTGAGGAATAGCATGGATGAATTTAATCGCATTGATCTTATTATGTAAATGTAATACAACAAAGCAGCAAACTGCTTCATCCGTAGCGATGTTAATTGTGATTAATAAACGGAGTAATTACAGCGTGCAAGAGAATAAAAAAAAGTTAGAACAAATTTTTCACACGCCACTGCATTCGAGACAGTTCGCGAAACGATAATCGCGAGTTGAGGTACACGAAAGTATAATACGTCTGCGAAGAACTGTAAGGCCCAGTTTCACACCTCATGGTTAATTTTTAACCGAGGTTTAACTTATTCCTTGTCTCTTTCTAACGCTAAAATTGGAAAGAGATAACAAATAAGTTGAACCTCGGTTAAGAGTTAACCGTGAGTTGTGAAACTGGGCCTAAGAAGACACGAAGAGGTAATGTCGCCCAGGTGCTCGACCGGCCTCTGCCAAACTCGCATCTCGCCTCCACCCCCTCTCTCATTTTCTCCCGTTCTCTCTTTCTTTCTTCCGTTATTCTTCTTCGACTTGTTCGACTCGTCACGACCAGTCGGTCAGTTCCTCTTTTTCCACAACGCACGATCCTTCCTAGGACTCTATACCTCTTTACTCTTATCCGTGCGCCATTGGCCATTAGCAACCGCGCCGTCCGCCGTCCGTATCACCGAGGCCCCGACTGGCCCCGGCGCGGTAAAGGGCCCCTCTTACCGGGTCCCGCGGGCCAGTCTTTCGTCGCGCGTTCACCGGTGCTCCGGCCTCCTCAGGCCTCCTCGCGTTCTGGCCGATGATCTGCCTCCTCGGCGATGATCTGGCCATGTGCCATCATGATTTTATACGGGTACGCGTGTTTCTACGATGACTACCTGTGAGTGCATCACATGGCCGACAATTGACGATAGCTCCATATGCGCGAGAAGCTCAACGTGGCTCGTTGCACCGCTTCACTGTCTAATACTTGCTCTTATTTTACCTGTTAATGTGACTCGATGATAATGTTGCGATTGCGCGCGTATTAAGAGTTATAGTTTTCCGTTGAATTTTACGTCAATATTGTCAAACAAACGACGATCCGGCAATCCAATCGCGGTGAAAGAGATTTCACATTTCAGTTGCATACGCCGCGCCACACGGTGATTTATCGGTAGTTGGCCTAGATACGCAATTGTTATAGATGGAATCGTGATTTTAAAAGGATTGGATCTCTCGACCTTGAATATTGCATCGTCAATGAATGATAGTGTCTACTGCACGTATTTCTTTGTCATTTTTTCTGAAAATTGTGTCGCGCACAATTTCGTATATTGAGTGACTTTTTGAATGTGATATATTTGTTTCGACAATTGAGGTGAAAAAGATGTGCGTGACGTGCGTGATGGCGTACGAGGACGTAGTATTCGAATAAAGTGGCAGTCTCTCTGGTTACAGTCATTCTCACGAGGAACTCGATATAAAATCAAAGTAGCTTTAGTAAAGTAATATGTAAAAGCTTCAATTGACATATTCTCTTTATATTCGTGCTTATATACTTCAAGTAATTAAGTCTCTCTAATTAAGCATTTAATTTACTTTTAGAGATTGAAAGGATAAGATGCAAAACTCTGATACTCTTCCTCAAAAGTTTCTCAAATGAAAACAATTTCTTAAATATTTTATAAGATTTTTTAATCAAAATAAATTAAAAAATAGTTTAATTGGAAAAATGCTATAATTTAACTTTGTCTCTTCTCGTGTTACTTTTTCGAGTCCATCCTCTAAATAAACCATAAATTAATAATTAATTGGCCGTTATCCGTTTAATTTAAATCTGTTATTATTTGTGTACCCGATGTAAACATTAATTAAACGTATATATCGGTGTATAATGTAATACAAATTAATTCTTTAGTTCCTTTTCGTATATTTGCATTTGCGATCCGAGCTATCTGATGATACAAACCAAACCAGTTGAAATTCCAGTTGCAAATGTCGTACCGACTATCACATGAACGCGCAAAGGTCGACCAGTCTTTATTTCTTTTCCAATCGGCGACAAATACCTCATTTAAATATACCTGAGAAATTTAGCCTCGTAAATTTTTAATATATCCAGATCGACGACCGCGTCCACTTCTCATATTGTTATTAAAATATGTGTCATTATAATTGATGTAAGAATATCCCTTTTCAAAAGTTAAAAGTCCTTCAAAAGTGCTATCGATTTTTCGACGATAAAACTGAAGCTATTAGCTTAAACTTGAAAAGGATTATATCGAGAATGCAGTTGGATGCATCGTGGATTTTTTTTTTTCGAAAAGTGCCGATGAAAGTAACGCAATGTTAAAACTTTTCATCGAATTCGCACGATGTAAAACGAGAGTGTAGTAAAAATGCGTCGCAGTGTTTTTTATGTGAACTGAAAAACAATTCTATGTATTGTAAGTTTTATCCGAAAAGTATCCAATATATTCCTGAGAAAAACGCAACCGATGCCGACCAGATGGGATGTGATGTATACTTATTATGGCAGAAACGTTCTCAAAGAGATCCGTCGCAGCTAAGGTGAATTTTATCACAATTCATTAACTATAGTTAAGCGTAACGATATTATTTAGATTGATTATAAGACGAGAAAATATAATAATCATATCGATACTTTACCTATTTCTTTCCATTTTATTTATAGGACAGCATTAAAAAAATTTTCTTCTCTACATGTATATATAAAAAATTGAAAAGACGCTTTATATAAAGTACTCATATACAGAAAAAAATTAAAAAGATGCTATCCTATGAATAGGACAATGGAAAGAGAAATGGATGAACAACAAACAGATAAGAAATCGTTTAATTCAGTAATCACAACGACAACGATCAATTTATTTACACGTGTCTATCTTATTAGGTGTTAAACTTAATTCCTGCCGTTTTTCGTCTCCAAAATTGATTTGTTTCGAAGGGAAGATGAATGAATACCTTCAAAGTAATTTCCTCCATTTTCTACTTTATTACTACTAATTAATAATACCTTATTAATGATACTTTGATTAAGGTATTTCCCTTCGAAACAAATCAATTTTGGAGACGAAAAACGGCAGGAATTAAGTTTAACACCTAATAATTCGACGATTGTATCATTTCTAAGATCAGCCATGCGACAACAAAGCGTGCGTGAATACTAAAGATCGTGGAAAGGTATCGCTATCCTCCCGTGTAGGCCACGAAATCTCGTAAATGTGGCATTGACGTACGAGAGGCTTTTAGCTGACTACAGTTATTCGTCCGAGAGATCTTTTAAGCGCGCGCAAGTCAGACGGGGTATGTAATTTTCATGTACGACTCTCTCTTCCTCCTCTTCCTTTTCTTCTCTTTCCCGACAGGCGGCTAAGCGAGTAAAGCGAGTAAGCGCAACGCCCGTGACACGCACGCGGCCGCACGCGTTTCGCACGGAATCTCGCGCGTGTGCAGTGTGCGTCATACGCACTCGTCTCGCCTTGTCTCGTTTTGCTCCGTACCAGGGGGATACGAGCGTGCTGTAAGGAATTTTTCTTCGCGCTTCCTTACGATCGCGTCTTCCTCCTTTCGAGGAAGTGAACGGATATAAATCTCTCCCCTCGCGTATCTCGCCTCGTTCCTCTGTTTACGAAACTGCGTTACGCTACGGAACGATCTCGTATACCTTGAACACTCGAACAATCGCTAAGAAGTTAGAACAAGTGCCAGAATGTTACATTCGAGCAGAAGAAAGATTGCACAGCCTCGTATGCGGCAAAGTATGCGGATCCCGAAGCGAATTGACGCGTTGATTTTGAATACGTTAACATTGTGTTTGTGACGGCTGCATCGGGAAATGAACGCAATATTTATTAATTTAATGAACGACCGTGCGTTCGAGTATCATACAATAGAAATAGTACGCTATATCGAATATAACGCGATTTATTAATTTGAAAGTGCTTCAATTTTTATGAGTTCAAAATTTTACTTGATTGGCACGTTCGCGAGTGAATAAATAAATAATGGACCGTCGACAGCATCCCGCGTGTCTATTCGTGCACCAAATTTTTCGTGCTCTACCACGACTGATATGCCCCATTATGTTTTCATTCCGCTTTGAAATGTTCTTATTTCGTCTTTTTGTCGCTATTCTGCAACGCGCGGCGTCAATCCTATTAAAACGCGAAACACGGAAAGGCAATTTCGATCGCGATAAAGTAAAAACGTTTTCGTTTGTGAAACAATCTTGCGCCATCAGGGTACTTTATCAGTGTACTCTATCAGCATCCCAAGTATCTATCGTTTCCGTTCGATAAACTCGGCTGAGATTAATTTACGTTCAACGAATTTAGTAATCTCATAGTTATTATAAATTGCGTTTTAAATTGTCCTGAGGTACGCGCGATTGTTCTCGTCATACACTCGATACACTGACAGCACATTGTATTCGTACAATGCTGGTGTAATTTAAAACTTCTCGACGCGCATAGCCGATGGTAAAAGCCGGATAGCGACGCGTTCACCCACTCGAATAACAAATATTCGGTTCTTTCTGTTCTACGTTTTAACTATTGTTAAAATCTCTGGGTTGTTTTATCGGTCCGCTTGACTTCAATGTTCTCGTTTTCAAAGAAATTAACCAATCTTGTACGAACGTAATAAATTATTACATCGGTACTATTATTACTATTCTCGTTGTCCCGTATATCGTTTCATTTTTCTGATTTTCGAGATTATAAGCATCTTTGCATTCGCAATAATATTTTTGAAAGAAGGATAATTTTAGAACTGTGTAAGAATAAATTCTTGCGATTGTCAGAATTCTGGGGATTGAACAGCTCGTGAATTATCTTGATAAACGTCATCTGATTCAAGATTTGGCGTTCTGGTTTCTAAAATAGCCGATCTAATTATTGGGACATGTTCTAATCGGGAGTCATCGATTTTCAATACAGTCGACTCTTACGCGCGATGATTCGATTCCCATTCTGTGATGGCATTCTGAATCATTTAAATGCTGCGCACGTTTTACGCAACGTCCTTTCTATCCTGCGTCGGTATTCTCCGTCACGACTCTCGTGACGGAGCGCACGAAAATGTCAACAGTTACAACGTGACTACGCTTGGTAAGCGCGGCGAACTATGCAGACTTGCGCGCGGATGCAATTTCGTTCGCGATAACGTAACGAATATCCCATTATCGCCAGAAACTGACACTCACCTCATTCGCTCCTTTCCGGTGGGATAAGCTCGAATCTAATCGGAACCCGCGAAGCTTTCACAGAGAGACAAAGCTGTTTAATATCGATATCAGATAAGAGCATATTTCTTCTGATTGACGTATCTATGAATAATTGTGACAGAATGCAATTGTAATTGCGATATAATTGTAATGTAATTGGCTTTAAAATTGCCTTTACATAAAAAAACAAAAAAAACAGAAAAGAATCGGTTGAATAATTAAGGAATTTAATGTTAATTAAACATTTTTTCATAATAAAAGCCGTTTCCATCTTACGTTGTGCTTGGATATTTATCTTGATAGATAGCCGTACATTTTGATAGACTTTCTCGAAATTGCCTGCGGATCGACATCTCCGGGGCGTGAAAGTATTCGGGCTAGATCGCATGAGAATGACAGGGTATACGATAGTGACACAATATGTTTCTGGCCTCTGGCATACAATATTAATCGAATCTCTTAACTTCCGCATAATTTCGCGAAATTCAACGATCGGTGAAAGTATTCTTTGCCATATACGACATACCTCTTACGACGTAAATGGATTTACTGTTGAGCATGGGTGACCCGTTCGCAATAAAATAGACGAATAAAAAGGTTACGACAGCAATTTCTACAGCATCCGTTGAAAGAATCAGCAGATGCGAAATTCTGTTACTCAACGACGCAAGTAATAAATCGATTTAATGTTTTTCCAATCTATATTATAGACTTTGTACCGATAAAATATATTCATTAAAAATAGAAAAAATATTTGTCTTATTCTAAGAAAAGATATTTCTAATGAAAATAAGCATTCTATAGTTTTTAAAGATTTATTGAAGGGTAAAAAATTGGAGCTGAAGTAGTATTAACACAAAACTTACTGTTATATTGGCCAATACAATATACGTATAATATTTAAATATGAAAGATTATACAATTGATTGTAATTGTTCAACGAAAGAATAAAACGATGTCGGTTTCCGCGGTTTGTCGCGGTTCTCCAACAAAAGTAGAACAACCGTGATTCTTCAACGAGAGTGTACTTGGTATCCGGCAAAGTTAGAGTGATGAAAATTCTGTCAACAAGCTTGTTAGTCCGCACGTGTACCGCAATTTCGTTGGTAGATGATGAGACATGAGAAGAGTTGCGATTGTTTCCGTCCAACATTCTAAATACTGGCGTATGAAATATCGTGCAATTAATGAAATGTGTATACATATTGCAAGGAAGAACAAGGAAGAATTATTAAAGGATCTGCGAAGAAGAATAATTGACAATAATTGAGGAAATCGTAGCATAAAAGTTGCAATGTTGAGAATCTCTTTTTAGAATAAAAAGAGAGAAATGAGATTTTTTTATTTATACATGCGTGTGATCATTATTATCAATTCATTAATTTAATTTTAAAAAGTCTATATATCGGAGAGGAAAATAATCCCGGTTTTACATATCAGAACAGGTGCGCCACAGAATGGATGATTGGTGTCATTGCGTCATTTGGCTGATACTTACGTGCAACGCGAACGAGAGAAGCGCATAGCTCAAGTGGGATATAAGCGATCGAATAAAATAACCGATGTGTTTCGCCACCGTGAAATATATCGTGGATTTATAGTGCCGTAATAATCGTAGCGATTCCTCGCTGGCGGCAGCACCATGTGCGGCTGCGAGCGTCGTAGAGAAACGGTCTTTTACATTCTTCGATTGTCGTGATCGTTCAATCGATTCGTTTTAACGCTCGTTTTAATGCCTGCGAGATATTAGCACGGCCGATTGCTTGCGCTGGTGGAAATGCGGTAATTGCGGAACAGCATGATGCTTGTGCGGCGCAGCGGAATGAGTTTTTATCATAAAACTAGGCGATGATAAAAGAAATTATAGACACACAAGGTAACTCATCTTAATATACATGTACCTATATAGAAAAAGTACATTGACATAAAAAAATTTAATCGTAAATTTAAAAACAATATTTTTCAAATTTACAAGTGACTTCCTTTCCTCGAATTATAATATTTCTAATAATTATAAAATTATATTTTTATGAATTAATTATTTTACTAAATTATTTTATGTTGTTATTTAAAATTATTATGTAATTTATATGATTTATAATTGTTATATAATATAATTGAATTAATTATTATTAATGTTATTATATAAAATTATTATATAATTTGTAACATTATTATTAATATATGCAACAAATACATATTATAGCGAATTTACATAATAAATTTTTATTTTAGTAATAATTCCATCGCATAAAGTAATTTTAGTACCTATATTCATGCGAAGATAATATTTCTTTTGAATATACAAGAATAATTTTGTATCCCTGCTTTCTAATACTGATCTAAGAATAATTGGGGGAAAGAGATAATTTCACGTTTTGTATTCATAATAATAATAGCTATTCCATCCCTATATTTTTATAAACCATCCATCCCCCATGGAATTCTCTCTCAGTGAGTATTCCAGTCGCCCTTCTGCGCAGTGGCATAATAATTCAGGAAAATCCCAGCGATTCCGGGAGGAGATCCTCCCAGAGACAAGTTCGATGAAACACAACAATGAGAATCATCCGGGAGGATTAAAACTTGGATTATATTGCGGTACGAATCTACTGATCAAAATACTTCCAGTTAGAAAAAATTCACCACAGAAATCACAGCGAAATTATAAATTAAACGCATTGTATTTTGCTACGTTTTAATTCGTAAGTTTCTTTTCATCAAACTTTCCCGCTGTTACGTATTGATTCATTTTTGAAACTTTATCAAATTGAACTATCTTTCATTATTTATAAATATTTCGCTCCAATATTCTTGTTGTGGATTATGAAAAAGAAATATATGGTCGCATTCTGTAAAGACATAATTGCGTTAGGTGTCGTTATTTAGTACGTTCCACCCCTGGTGCTTTTATTTATCGTCGTGTTTGGAGGGTCGCTATTTTTATCGGCTATATAATCGGCGAGACACGTTTGACCAAGCGAGAGATATCCTTATACCGGAAATACGAGTCTTTCGATCTTATTTATAAAAAGATATTTTTTCAGTTCAGTTTTTTTAGTACCAAAAATATTATAAAAATGAACAAGCCATATTAAACCAATTTATTCGTGGTCAAACCGCTCCGATCGATCAAATATATTTTTAAATTACATTTGTATATAGTCATTTGCTTCCTATGACATTTATAAAAAAAGGAAAGGAAAGTCGATAAAAATTTTCTAGGTAAGGCTCCGTCGGACAGTCTTTCTTTGAGCCGAGAGACAAGCAGTTGCCTCTCGATTGAGGGGAGAAACGAAATTTTCCAAATTTCGTTTCGACGCGTGAGGGCAGGGATGATCGCCAGCCAAATTGACTATTGAAAGGAAATGGCGAGTCTGCGGAAGGTAGGGGGTCGCGTTCCGGTGTACGGATGTCCTCGAAACGGAAAAAGGAAATTAAATTCTTGTCGTAGGCCAGGTCTGCCTTTATTGTTTTCCAACGGTGTGTGCGTAGAGGTATAGTTTTCCTACTGTGTGATGTCACCGTCTGGCAGCCACCCGCCGGATTAGGTGGGTTGTGACCCTTCAAAGCACGGTTGCATTGACGATCTGATAATTATTTCTCGGCGAGCGTATAATAAGTATATTGAAGAGAGCATGAAAACAAATATATTAAGCATGCGAGAATAATAGCATTTTGTTCGTGAGAATATTTGATTATACCAATTTTATTGATGGTACCAAACGTACATTTCTCAGAAGGAATTTTAAACTTGATTTGTATTGCTTTTGTAAAAAAGAAGTCGAATTCTTAGGTCGGTTGATCGTTATTTATATTTCTAAAATCTTTTGAAAGTAGAATCTATGTAAATCCGAAAAATCTTTTCTTTTGCATTGCTTCTAACACCGAGTTCTTTCTGTCACAGTACATGGGTTCGTTTCCTGTGGCGATTCCCGACATTCCCAGCCGCGCGGAATTTGTGCGCTCCCAATTGGAGATCCTTAGGGTAAGTGCTTTCCCTTGATTCTGTTGTGTACTGAAAACTATTTCTAATTTAGCATCCCTTTCTTAAGGGAATATGATTATTATACAAGAAATGACAAATTATGCCTGCGAGGTAACATTGCTTTCCTTCCGGGGACGGCAAAACCTGCTTCTTCCGGTAATGCGTGGCAAGACGAATTATTCTAGCGCGCCTCTTCGCATAATAAGAAGCAATAAGATCCTAGGATAATAGCGTGGCATATACCAGCGGTCCCATTTTCACCCTGTTTGTTTTCCCGTTTTGCATGCATGATGAATTCACCAGTTTTATATTCAAATGGTCGCGCGATCTCGACATTATGTAGATGCGTGTATACGAGATGAGATAAAACTATAGATTTTTCCTCACAATCTCTTAAGATATTTAGATGCTACTTAAAAAAAAACCGTCACCTTCGATCTGTTATGTTTTACAAATCATGCTTGATGTATAATGTAATATCGTAAATAATAACGACGCATGCATAATGATGCCCGCATTGATGGGAGCTTATTTCCCGTCCTAATGCTTGACATCAATTGCAATCAACAGCAAATACATTTCGTAATTAGCCCGAATAGATGAGTACCATATGGCAAAGGAATCAAAACGGTTCTCATGTTTGAGGGGATTATTATTCTAAAGCTGCGCTATTACTGCATAAATCTAGTAATGACCGTACCTGAATGGATCAGCAGAATTTCGGCTTTGAGTTTCATCGGAGTTGGATATTTGTCTACAAGCGAGAATAACTCGTGCCAGGAAGTTCCTACTTAATCTCCAACGTACGTGTGCGAAAGTATTCGTGTTGAGCAGTCTGCGTGTATAAGAACGCATGCTGCTACTTTTCCCGTGATACTACTTCATTAAAGTGTACGTACGCCGCGTTCGTTTTCGTCAATTTTACTTGAATAGTTGCCAACGATTAAAGGTAAATTCATTGGCTTGCTTGTCACATCTTTTCTTTTTCCTACGAATGACAGAGACTTAAACTGTCATGAAGTAATTAACTGTACCGGTACCTATGTCATATTAAATCTTAATTATAACTTATTGGAAATTTGAGTGGAAAGATAAGGGAGAAGATACATTGTGTTGACACGCTTAATTGTTAATTAGCCGACTCCAATATAGACATAAGTAGATTATTGTGAGAGAATTCTATTCTAATACCCGAGTATTAGATGGCGTATTATATTGGTACCTGAGTATATACCAGATGGTATATTAGAAGTATATTATGTCTCCTGCTAATTAAGATTATTTTAATTAATGTATCCAACCATATATTCTTGAAAAGGTATATGCTTTAAAAGTAAAAATTGTATAGAAACAAGAGAGCTTAAATTGTTGAATGAATTGTTATTTAATTAATCATTTAAAATGTCACTTACTACACAGAAATCTTCACAAATGAAATCGATTATCTTTATGAGGCACTGTCAATAGTTTAGTGCAATATTTAAAAAAGTGAAACATAACTAGATTTCCGACTTATTTTACATATAAAAATTTATTTATGGTCTTTCTATAATAATTGACTCCTTTTTACTTATAAATAAATTTGTAGATTTGTGGTAACGAAATCAAAGAATATAAGCAATCTCTAACGTAATGAGTCGTAAATTCGACGAGTCACTTGCCTCTCCATGTTCAGTGATCGTTCCCACTCAATGCGCACTTTCGCAAATCGTCCCTATTGTTATACTCCGTCGTAGAAGATCAGACTTTCAAAGAAGCGTTTAGTGTAACACGCCGTAAATGCACGTATATCGTCTCACCCCTGCAACATTTATATTTATACGGCCGACGTAAATGAGGCGAAAATCACGCTCGGTTGGTTAAGAAACGCTTCACCGGTCGCTTACTGATGCCAGTAGGGTGTCGGTATCTCCATGTTTCGTGGTACAATCGTTAGCAACATTTAAGATATGAAATTTTATTAATGCAACTAATCTAGCACGTATTCTTCTTTTTATTGAATTTTTGACAAGATTTGTTATTCCAAGAAAATACTCCAACTTACAAGATTAAATTACATTTTTTTTTTTGCAGACATATTTTTTTCTCTTTATATGCATGCCGTTTATTTTTATAGCTTTATTATTTATACAATCAAAATTTTATTATTATTTTATTGGTGTATTTTAATAACCATACATTTATATTTACCTGTTGGCTACGTAAACATTATTTGTTAATTGAAAGATAAAATTAATTCGATGTGATAATTGATTTATAAACTTTATTTGTGTAAATAATGCATTATTTTATAAATTTAAGCTTTTCATAGCCGTGTTTAACTTTTCTCAAATTAGAAAATATTTAATTTAAGCAACTCCAGCAGTTTGTATCGATCTTTACAATGAAGATTTATTAAAAAATTTATACACCGTCGATATCAACTATTTTTATGCACCACGTGAATAGTTAATGCCCGTAATGCCCGTAATAGGCACGAGAGCCCGTAATAGAGTTTCGTTTAGTTGAGTTTAATGCTAGTCTATCTATTCTGTAGAATGAATAGATATGTCTAAAAGAAAATCAGAAAATCAAGAAATGTGATCAAATTATCGGACATGCGATCCCTCTGCTCTGACTTTTTATTAGTCATAAAAATTCGAGAGTAATAAAATATTACATGGGTCATCGCAAATAAATTTTTCAACTTAAAATGGTATGAGAAGGGATTGTCTCCTTTTTGTACTTTTGAAGTTGAAAAAGCGGTAAAGTACATGAAATTATAATATACTTTTTAAAATTTAATGCGCATTCATAAAATTCAAGGCAAATTAATTTTGCTTTTATATTTTATATATTTAAACTTACACGAATATTTAAATATTAAAATCTTTTCTCGTTATTTTAAAGAATCTAATTGTCATGATTACTTTTTTTGAAAAATTTGGTATATCTAATTCAGTAGTAAACTAAAACGAGTTTATCGTGAGTTATCTCGTGAGTTTTTATCGTATTTCGGTTTCCTGCTCAAAGGATTTTTCCACAGCAAAACGAAAATTCACAGTGGAGGTCACTCAAAGGGGCTTGCGAAGGGCCTTTACCTCGAATTTAAATTGAAACAAAATCATTCAATGGTATTTCTCTCGCGAGAGTTTAACAAAAAAATGGCAGTGCGAATGAACAGAAATTTATTTGACGAAGTTAGAACATTCACGTGGACAATTTCGTCGTTCTCTTTAGCACATACGAATTTCAAGTGTCGCAGGATGGATAAGCTGTCAAAGCCATCTGCTTTAATTGCCAATTACATGAGACGCTTTCACGGTTTGTCAAACAGTGGTCCGAATTTTTTCGCGAGATATCCAGCTGGGGCACATTGTACTGATACGGTCGGTTAACGGAAATACGTCGTACCAAAAAATTATTTCACCTGAAATAGCTCTTTCAAAGTTACGCACGAATTTTGAAATATCCATTATTGTTTCATCAAACATTGTATCGCGTTACAAATTGAAATATCATACAATATTTTGCCAAAATGTTCTCAATTTATATATGTTTTTTTTCTATTGTATTAAATTTATTCCACATAAATATACTGTGCTATTTTTTATATTAATTAATTGTTAATATTTTTATAGATTAGTTGTCAAATTTCTTTATATTGTATACCTACTAGTTATTAAATACTCTTAACTTTGCGTTATTGTATAAAATGAGGTCCAAAGAAATCGCGGCTGCGCTATTAAAATTCAAAATCAAATCGATGAGCCATCGTGGAATGTAATTTAATCGGGAAAAATCCAATAAACGCATTCTACAGCGGCATGATGTATTGGCATACCATCGGTTTCTTTTTCTCAGGTTTCTGTCTTGCCAAGTTATTAAAGCTATGACAAAGGCAGTCGTGTCAAAGAAATACGATCTTGAGGTATGCATCCGAAAGTACCTGTGACAGCAAACAATCGGAAATCATTTCTACAAAACTAAGAATACAACGTTAGAGTTTAAATTGAATTTAATTTAAGTTCTTTGAAACCATTCAAATCGATTGATCTAATTATGATTCACTAAGATTATGTATTTCCTATGATGATACCAGTATTAAACATCAATAGTAATTTAATTATTCGAATGCGTTTAAAACTCATAAATTTGTAAACGTCTAGAATCGCCAAAATGGTCTTTTTTCTTGTATCGTTGCACACGCATGGAATAATTTTGTCATCGTGCATTAACGAGCCGAGGATAAATAAAATAAATGTACGCAAGTAGAAATTTGTCACGGTGATCAATGACATAGAAGCGTCACTTTCGTGGATCACGACGAATGGGGTAGTTTGTCATGAAGGAGGGTATCTTTCCACCCTTGACACATTGACCACCCTATAGACACAGCGACAGCGGAAGGTACTGAAACGCACGAGAACACGTACAGGGTATATCACAATACGTGTAGGTATCCATATTGATTTCGGGGATGCGTAGCCGCCGACCTCTTTCACTGGCTCTTTCCTTCTCTGGTATTTCGGGATGCTCTTTTATCGCGAGGGTTGAAAATAAAGAAAAACGCCAACGGTCTAATCTTCCACTGGTTCGCGCTACACACTAATTACCAGGGATCTCTTAACGCCGTTGTTCTAACCTAAATTACCACCGATTGTGTGTTTTGTAGAAGTGTGATCCTTATGAAAACAAAAAAAAAAAGGATAAAACCGGGAAGGTGCACTGCTCAATCGTTTCGAATCTTGGTAACTTTGCGCGATAAAGTCGATTCACGATCGATGAAGAACAAAGAACGAAAATCACGTTTAACCGGTCCATCCTCAAATTACGATTCACCGCGAAACCACCAGGGAATAGTGGAAAGTCGATCTATCCGCACCCACACCTCCGTCTTCTCACATTTACGACGATGCGGTTTCGGCATTGGTTTACCAGACAATCGTCGACAATGTCGACGACGCCGTGTTACATGTAGCCGTGTTACATATAGGTCATGTACAATCCGCAACGAACCG